TCCTCGAGAACTCAGCAGTGTGTTGGGGCATGTCTAAACTACATCCCTCTTTCGAAAGAGGGATGTAAATTAGGCAGATTGAAAGTGCAAATTAAGTGGGGATTTAAATATCCTGCATTTCATTTGCATAATCGCGTCACAGCATTCTTTTGAAAAAGGGTATTTTGAAAGTGAAACTGCCATCTAGACGTGGTTCTTTCAAAAAAAAATCTTTTTCAAAAGTTGAGGAGTACAGGATAAGGAGTACATTTCAAAAAGTGAGGAGTACAGGATCTTTTGAAAAAGGTTTAAAAAAACAAAAAAAAACGGGTGTGAGTGGCGGGGGCCCCTCCAAAATACCCTTTTTCAAAAGAACGCTGTGATGCAATTATGCAAATGAAGCACGGGATATTTAAATCCCCGCTTCATTTGCACTTTCAATCTGCCTAATTTACATCCCTCGTTTGAAAGAGGGATGTAGTTTAGACATAGTATTTAAGTGCTGGTAGCATAGGGTGGGAGGAGAGTATCCACATAGATGGATAACCCTGCTGTATGGGTGCCAATGCCTGAGATGATGGGGCATCCAGGATTTCCAGGTTTATGGATCTTGGGTAGGAGATATAATACTTCTGGTTGGGAATTTCTTGAGCAGATGGTATATTTCCTTTTGATATTCCTCGATCAGAGGAAAATGGCCTGTAGAATGTAGTGTTGGAGAGTTGCCTGGAAGCCTCCTGTTCATAATCTGGACAATACATAGCTGAAGTCAGCAAACTTAGATCTGCTTACAGTGGTACCTACACTGCAGTAAGTCAACAACTGATGCTCTCCTGTCAACTCCCATTACTATTCTTGTTCTGGTGGAGTACTGAAGTCCACGGGAGAGCACTCGGTGACTAGACTCAATAAATTGATCCTGCTGTATTGATTGTTGCTTGTTGAGCTGACTGATAATGTAGACACACCCTAAGGCTATGTCTACAGTATATTATGACCCTTTCAATGGCATGGCTGCACCACTGCAGCTGTGCTACTGAAAGGTCTCCTATGTAGCTGCTCTATACCAGTTGGAGAGAGCTGTCCCACTGGCATAATTAAACCACCCTGATGAGTGGCAGTAGCTCTGTCAGCAGAAGAGCATCTACCACTGACAACATTGTCCACACCAGTGCTTTTGTTGGTGAAACTTGGCAGACAACATTGCTAGCACTTGATGGCATCTATCACATTAGTGGATGTACAGGTATATGAGCCCCTGATGATGTGGCTTATATGCTTAGGTACTGTGATGGTGTCACTTGTATAGATATGTGGACAAAGTTGGCAATGGGCTTTGTTGCAGTGATAGCTTTCTTGGTAAGTGTTTCTGTGGTATGTGTCAGCTTGGAGGGCTGTCTGTAGGCAAGGACTGGCCTGTTTCCCAAGGTCTGTGAGACTGAGCCATTGTTTTCCTGGACTGGCTGTAGATTGTCAGTGATGTGCTGGAGGGGTTTTAGTGGGGGCTATAGGTAATAACCAGTGGTATTCTGTTATTTAACTTTTGGGGCCTGTCCTGAAGCAGGTGACTTCTGGATACTCATCAGGCTCTGACTATCTGTTTTTTCATTTCCCCAAGTGGGTATTTAAGTTTTAAGAATGTTAATAAAGATCTTGTAGGTGTTTGTCTCTGAAGGATTGAAGCAGATATGGTTGTATCTTAGGGCTTGGCTATAGAGAATGGAAGGTGTAATGTGCCCTGTAGGTAAGAGTAGTAATCAGTAGGTTTCCAATATAGGGTGGTGTTTATATGACCATCACTTATTTGTATTGTAGTGTCCAGGACATGGATCTCTTGTGTGGCTTGTTTCAGGCTGAGGTTGATGGTGGGGTGCAAATTGTTGTAATCCCAGTGGAATTCTTCAAAGGTCTCCTTCTTGTGGGTCCATATGATGAAGATGTCGTCCATGTAGCGTAAACAGAAGAAAGGTGCTAGGGATCTGGAGCTGAGAAAACATTCTAGGTCAGCCATAAAAATGCTGGCATATTGTGGGGCTATGTGGATACCCATAGCAGAACTGCTGACTTGAAGGTATAATTGTCTCTAAATCAGAAATGGCTGTGTGTGAGGACAAAATCACATAGTTCAGCCACCAGCTGTGCCATGGCATCACTGGGGATACTGTTTCTGACACCTTGTATTCCATGCTCATGTGGAATATTGGTGTAGAGAGCTTCTACATCCATGGTGTCAAAGATGGTGTTTTCAGGAAGATTACTGATGCGCTGTAGTTTCCTCGAGAACTCAGCAGTGTGTTGGGGCATGTCTAAACTACATCCCTCTTTCGAAAGAGGGATGTAAATTAGGCAGATTGAAAGTGCAAATTAAGTGGGGATTTAAATATCCTGCATTTCATTTGCATAATCGCGTCACAGCATTCTTTTGAAAAAGGGTATTTTGAAAGTGAAACTGCCATCTAGACGTGGTTCTTTCAAAAAAAAATCTTTTTCAAAAGTTGAGGAGTACAGGATAAGGAGTACATTTCAAAAAGTGAGGAGTACAGGATCTTTTGAAAAAGGTTTAAAAAAACAAAAAAAAACGGGTGTGAGTGGCGGTCTCACTTTCAAAATACCCTTTTTCAAAAGAACGCTGTGTTGCAATTATGCAAATGAAGCACGGGATATTTAAATCCCCGCTTCATTTGCACTTTCAATCTGCCTAATTTACATCCCTCGTTTGAAAGAGGGATGTAGTTTAGACATAGTATTTAAGTGCTGGTAGCATAGGGTGGAAGGAGAGTATCCACATAGATGGATAACCCTGCTGTATGGGTGCCAATGCCTGAGATGATGGGGCATCCAGGATTTCCAGGTTTATGGATCTTGGGTAGGAGATATAATACTTCTGGTTGGGAATTTCTTGAGCAGATGGTATATTTCCTTTTGATATTCCTCGATCAGAGGAAAATGGCCTGTAGAATGTAGTGTTGGAGAGTTGCCTGGAAGCCTCCTGTTCATAATCTGGACAATACATAGCTGAAGTCAGCAAACTTAGATCTGCTTACAGTGGTACCTACACTGCAGTAAGTCAACAACTGATGCTCTCCTGTCAACTCCCATTACTATTCTTGTTCTGGTGGAGTACTGAAGTCCACGGGAGAGCACTCGGTGACTAGACTCAATAAATTGATCCTGCTGTATTGATTGTTGCTTGTTGAGCTGACTGATAATGTAGACACACCCTAAGGCTATGTCTACAGTATATTATGACCCTTTCAATGGCATGGCTGCACCACTGCAGCTGTGCTACTGAAAGGTCTCCTATGTAGCTGCTCTATACCAGTTGGAGAGAGCTGTCCCACTGGCATAATTAAACCACCCTGATGAGTGGCAGTAGCTCTGTCAGCAGAAGAGCATCTACCACTGACAACATTGTCCACACCAGTGCTTTTGTTGGTGAAACTTTTAGCAGTTAGGGATGGTTTTTTCACCCCCCTGACCAAAATATTTTACCAACAAAAGGACTTTAAGTATTTAAATATACTTTAAGTTAAAAATGTTAAAGTATGAAGTAAATAGAAGGGCAACATCCAAGCTGAGCCTTAGTCCTAAATTACTATAGGGCTCTGCCTCCTGCACGTCTCATCCCCCTTAGAGCAACCCAGACAGACTGAGCTAATATTGGGATACCTCCACCCCTGCCAATCCTCCATCTGCCATGGGCAACACACTCGGGGACAGAGACAGGCCAGGGGTTGCTCTCAGGCTTCTCTCCCCAGGGCAGGTGGAGGGCCAGTGCTTCCCATAGCATCCTAGACACTTTCCTTGACCCAGTTCCATCATCTGGGCTAACCAGGGGGTAAAGCCTCAGGGAGAAGAGGAGGAGCAATGGGTGGGCTGACAGAGGAAAGAGGAGGAGCAAGGGTGGGGCCACAGTTCCAATGTTTGTGGCGCTCTCCCTTCTACAAAGGTTCTGGTGCTCCTGGGGTCCCCAGATTGGCTCAAGTGTTGACCAGCTACTGCTTGCAAGGAAATGCCAATGTAGGACTAGGAAACTCCATCAACTTTTCCTTCCAGAGTTTCCCTGAATTCTTCCATTGAGAGATTCTTGCCCCAGTGTGGAGCAAACTAGGGGAAAGCTCACAAATACTAGGAACCTCCAAAATCACTGCTGATCCTCTAGGACACAGGGGCATTTTGAGGAGTTCTGGTCCTCTGAATCGATTCTGGGTTGCTAGTATTTCTGCCTTAGCCTCAGTGGAGCTATATTACAATGTATTCCCTAGTTGGCCCTCACTTCCCACCCTCTAAGGTATGTCTGCACAATAGTTAAAACACCTGAGACTTACCCATATCAGGCTCAAGAGGCTTGGGTTAAGGGTCCGCTTAATTATGGTATGGACGTTTGAGCTTGGGCTGTGTTGTGTGTGTTTAAGTGCATCCACCAATTCAGGTCCATTTCTCCTGCTCACTCCCATGCCCTGCCCACACGGATTCCTAAAAAAGTACAGATATTGAGTGTAAGGCAATAGTGCACTCCTTTCTGCATGGAGAGGGAAAGATCCGTGTTACCTACAGATTATATATAGACTAAAATGGCTGCACAGGAAAATTTTGAACAGCATCTCAAGGTTCATGTAAGAGTTAGATTCAGAGTCAACATGCCAGTTTCTTTAGATTATCATTTCATCTGTGAAGCAAATGCGAAGGACCTTGCCTATAGCAATGGAAAGCAAAGTTGCCTTCATAGTTATTGGTGTAACAGTGCTATCATCTCAAATAGGTGTCACTAGATTTACATTTAGATTTGATTAGAAAACAGAATCATGTCAATACAATTGGAGCTTTAAGTATCACAAAAATAGCTGTGTTCTGTGAAAGTTAGTAATCAGAAAAAATGTACAGTTTAGCTCAACAGTGGAACACATACAGAATTATATGAGAAAATTCAGAAAACACTGCAACTAGCATGTCACGAATGCTAAACCAATGTTAAGGTATGAAAGAGAGCTTAATTTTGCACATGATTATATATTCCTTAGGCAGTGAGATTTCAGAGAGGATTCTAAGAATTACACGGGCAGCCTCCGAATGGTCAGCAAAAAAGATATCCAGTAACCCTGTGAAGAAAGGTTCAGAAATAACAGAAACATCAGCATCAACATCATCTGGCACCTCTGCATGGTAAAAATAATCCCTGTGCTATAGATGGGAAGTATTGTAGAATACCATACATATGGAGTAAAATACAGGACTATGTAGCACTTTAAAGACTAAGAAGATGGTTTATTAGATGATGAGTTTTCGTGGGCCAGACCCACTTCCTCAGATCAAATAGTGGAAGAAAATAGTCACAACCATATATACCAAAGGATACAATTTTAAAAAATGAACACATATGAAAAGGACAAATCACATTTCAGAACAGAAGGGGGGTGCGGGGGGGGGGGGGAAGGAAGGTGAATGCCTGTGAGTTAATGATATTAGAGGTGGGGAAGGGTAGA